TTGAAAATCCCTCCCATAATCCAATAGCGGCAGTGGGCCGTCACTGTTCCTGCCTGCTAATGAGCTGAACATACTCCCATCAGACCCAGAGCAAAACAAACGTGCCGTCCACGTGCCTTCAGCAGGGAGACAGGAGGACACGTGGGACACCCCATTGACACCATTTCACGTTTGTGCTTAAAGATTGTTATTCTTGTAGTGGTTAGTGAGAATTTGGCCTATGTTAAACTGGTATCGGCATGGGATTTTGAGGTACACTGAAAAAATTCATTGGATTTCATTCATTGGATGATTCGTTGGATTTACTCGGTTGTTTGATGGTAAGTGGTTGCAAACAATTCATACGGGCTTAATTTTAAACAAACATTAAGTTGAACATTACTAAATTTTATTAGTTTGTTTGAATTTGACCCATATAAATTGTTTGCAACCACTAACTTTGAAAAAAACAATCATTGGATTAACACAATTTTTTTAGTGTATGGGATGATGCTAAATGACAAATACAACTTGACTTCTAGTTGATTATTTGGAAAAGATTTTTCTAATGATTCGTCTGTTGAACTGCATCCCAATCATCACAAATACTGCAGAAGAGCTATTAGAACCTGCATGGACCCAAGATTCTCACAGAAATCAGTCAAGTTTGGTGAAGGAATATTCATGGTTTGAAGTTACATTCAGTTTGGGGGCGTGCAAGAGATCTGCAGAGTGGATGGCAACATCAACAGCCTGACTTATCGAGACATTTCTGCTGACCATTACATTACAAACCACAGGAGAGGGCAAGTTCTTCAGCAGGATAGTGCTCCTTCTCATACGTCAGCCTCCACATCAAAGTTCCTAAAAGCAAAGAAGGTCAAGGTGCTTCAGGATTGGCCAGCCCAGTCACCAAACATTAACATTATTGAGCATGTCTGGAGTTAGATGGAGGAGGCATTGAAGATGAAGCCAAAGGATCTTGATGAACTCTGGGAGTCCTGCAAGAATGCTTTGTCATTCCAGATGACTTTATTAATAAGTGATTTGAGTCATTGCAGAGATGTATGGATGCAGTCCTCTAAGCTCATGGGAGTCAAACACAATATTGATTCTTTTTCTACTGCAGCATGACTTTATATTCTACACTGTAAATTATTTCTGTTAAGTGACAAGACTTTTGTCTTAGCAAAGTCAGACCTTACTGTCCTAATTAAATAATTAAAATCAAGGCATGATCATATTTTATTATGGTAAAATAAGCGTAATCTAGAGGCCTTTGCCCTTCAAATAAGCCACTTCTAATACCGAATGATCGACTAGAAGTCAACTTATTATTTGCTGTTCCTAACACTTGGAATAGCCAACAAGACAGGCAGTGTCAGGCAGTGTATTAATACGCTTGATTGTTCATAAGGTGCACCTTCATTAGAGAAAGTCAAGACTCACTAATAGGAGCAATTTACCACTCAAAAAGTCTAGCGGAAATATATAGAAGAATGCTTTAGGACAAAATATTATGACAACTTGTTCAAGAATTTTGCATGTAAAGACATGTAAAGTCACACAACGTTGTGAAGATTGAAGAGGTAGCTTTGAGAATTTCAATTCTGATCTGAGAAATGCACCAAAGCAGCCGAGAAGAACTGTAAGTGTAATATATTTGTATTTTTAATAATAGTTCAAGTATAATAAGCCTAATTCATCAATCATGTTTCTTTTTACTCTGTACTTTGAATAACTTAAAAGTACTATAGTAAACTTGGATGGATGGATGGATGGATGGATGGATGGATGGATGGATGGATGGATGGATGGATGGATGGATGGATGGATGGATGGATGGATGGATGGATGGATGGATGGATGGATGGATGGATGGATGGATGGATGGATGGATGGATGAATGGATGGATGGATGGAAAAAGAGAGATAGAAAGCAAGTTCTAAAGGTGTTGTTAATACTATGGCACCTGATTTCCTTTGGCGCCTGTTGTTGTAAAGTAAAGTAAAGTAAAGTAAAGTAAAGTAAAGTAAAGTAAAGTAAAGTAAAGTAAAGTAAAGTAAAGAAGAACTTTTATTGTCATTGTAGTTATACAACGAAATTTGTTTGGTAACTCACAGAGACCAGCAGCAATATAAAAAGAGAGAAAACAAACAATAGACATAATACTAAAATATAAGATGCAAGATAAAATATACTAAATGTAATAAGTCACATAAAACAAACAATAGACATAATACTAAAATATAAGATGTAAGATAAAAAATACTAAATGTAATAAGTCACAGTCTTTACATTGTGGCAAATGAGTGCAAACATGAAAATCCATAAAGTGTCTTTGTGCATTAGCAGCAGAACATCAGGAAGATAGGGAGTGAGGGAGGGGGGCGGGGGGGGGGGGGGGGTGACTGTTAATGTGTACGAAGAGGAGGGGTGGCACAGGCTACAGCTCTGGGGAAGAAGCTGCTCCTTAGCCTGTTTGTGCGGGTCTTAATGTGATGTGAGACTCTCACTGTCCATCAGCTTTATTTCTGACTGTGGACTTAAGTGCTTTTCTTGTGCTCTTCCTAGAAGCTTCAAGGGTGCTCGGTCACTTCAGACATAGATTGAGAGAACAAATATTACATGCAGGTTATATGTGTATACCAGGGCCGGATTAACCAATGGGCCTTATGGGCACAGGCCCAGGGGCCCGTGTGCACTAGGGGCCCCTGCGAGGGGGGAGAAAAAAAAAGACAATTTTGGAGTGTCTTTTTAGGCTAATTGCAAATAGCGCATCTAGTTGGACGAAGCTATTCAGGGTTTACGCCCATCGATGCCTGATTGATAGAGACAACATGAGTAAAGAGAGGTGAATTAATTCAGCTGCAGAGGCGCACCTTGTATGGCGCACAACATTTACTTTTGACGCGATTAATCATAACATCGGTTCGAATCCATCATCAGCTGAACTCGTGCTACTTTTTTTTCCTCCCCATTACATATCAGATTGGAAATATATTAATTTTTAAGAAACATTTTTTTTAAATAATGCAAATGTGATATAAAGTCACAAGTGTCTCGTGGGTATTTAATAATGTTTAGCCTTATTATAGGCGCCTGCTGCGCCTCCCTCTCTTCAAAAACTATATTGCTCAGACAACTATTTCCTCTGAGCAAAAAAATCGCGATCACATATTAATATTATTATTATATTTATATTGCCTTTCTTTTTTTAACTAAACAGAATGCTGTAATTGGTCAAGTGCGGAAACGTCAGTTTTGTAATAACCCGCACTAAACTGAGCGGACTTTGGTGTAACGTTATATCTGTCATAGATCAAAAATGAGTGGACAAGTGGATTTAGCAAACGCGACAGAAAGAGGAGAGGAGGCATTTTTATTGAGGCATTTTCCATACACATCATCTTTAAGAAGACCTATGATCAGGAGAATGAGGGTACAGAAGAAGACGTTATGGTAACCTTAAATGATTAGTAGCTAGCATTAACCAGGCGGAGTAGGCTAACGGCAGCGCAGCGCGGACTGGATTCATCGTGTGAGAGACAGACAGAAAAGGAGAGAGAGAGAGGGAGAGAGAGAGAGAGAAAGGCCCAGAAGAGGAGAGAGACGGGAGAGAAGAGGTATAGTGTCTGTAATTTCGGATACTTTTAGGTTTATAATCAAGTCTTCATCACGAGAAGAGTAGAGAAAATACAGGGAGAGGAGGAGAGAGACAGTTAATCAGTGTTTGTATTATGAAAGACTCAGATTCATAGAACTCAGATTCATAGAACTGGATTGGAGAAGCATTGTGCGTTATATGCCATGGCAATAATATGCTTTATAAGTTTGTAAAAGCATTAAAATAAATTACATTAAAATACCCTTAAAAAAAAAAAAAAATATATATATATATATATATATATATATATATATATATATATATATATATATATATATATACATACATACATAGTTTAATTTTTTTTATTTAATGCTTTGAAAAATAATTTAAATCTTTGTAGACTATAAATGCATATGTACTATATATCATTTATTTAAATATGTGGGCAACAAATTATAGATTCATTTTATTTAAAAATTATTATATTATTCTTATTTTTTAAATTTAACTATAGGGGTGCGGCTAGGTAGGGGGCCTTTCAAGATAATGTGCCCAGGGGCCCCTGAGTTCTTAATCCGGGCCTGGTGTATACAGTATACAACCTACACATGCAGGTTGTGTGTGTATACAGATTATAACCTATATGGATGAATACTTTTCATACAGAAAGTGTGCTGGAAAACGTGAGAAAATCCAGTGGCCAGAGTCACTCAAGTGAACAGTGAGTTTCCTGCATGAGTTAGTGTGAACTGTGAACAAGGTCAGAGGTGTTTGTGGTCATCAAAAGCCTTTTCTTTCCAGATCGAGTGAGTGTTTGACTGGTGTTGACGGTTTCTTTTCATTCTTCATCGGTTTAGCGCCCCCTTCTGGAAATTTTAACGCTAAATAAATTTTACGCATGTAAAATCGTAGAATATAGTATACTGTAAAGTTTTAGTCAAAATGATTAGCCCTCCTGTCAAATTTAAATTCTTGTAAAAATTGTTTCTCATGTGTTGCTAAACGGAAAGTTTTTTTCAGCACATCTTTAAATAGTTTAACAAGTTTCTAATAATTTGTTTCTTTTTGTCTTTGCCATATAACAGCATATTTTTTCTAATTATTTTGCTATAGCCTACAGCTTAAAGTCTTAAATAAAGTCTTAACTAGGATGTAACTACTAAGTGGTTATGTGTTGGGTTCCTTTGAGAGAAAAAAACTGGTTCTGCAAATTTATTGCAAACTATTTGGGTGGAATTTTAAACAAATTAAATTTAGTATTGTTCAGCTTTATTTGTTTGTTTAAATTTAGCCCAAATAAATAGTTTACAATCACTTAACTTAAAAAAAAAAAAAAGTAAATCCAAGGAATCATCTTTGAGTCATTAGGAAGTCATTGGAGAACTGTGTAATTTTTTTGTAGTCAATCAA